CGTTTATGTTGGACATTATAAGTGCCAAAGATAGGCCAGAAAAAACTATGGTTCTATTATTCAATATTTTTTCAAAACAGCTTTTTAGAAGAGTTCAATTATGATATTCTAGTTAAAGATGATTTGAAAAAGTAATATTTAACAAATGTTTTTGGAAAAGAGGTATCTTCATTTGGAGAATAATTTTGGATTTCAAAATCTCCAATTATATAGACATGGTCAGTGAAGTCTAATTTTCAGTCTTCATAATGAAAAATCACTATAATCTTTACAGGAGAAAGGTTATGCTGGTAATGTTTACTTACCTGTAAAGAAAGAGTGAATAAATGACAAGATTTGTGAACCAATAGGATAAAGTTAGATTATTGATAAGGCTTATAGACCCCATTCTACTGTACACTAATCTTCTTTAAAAGATTTCTAGATTCATCTGCATAGCAATTAGATAATTCCCTTTCAAGTTAAGCAATGTTATGCAAAGTGCAGAAAAAAATAGTAAGCCAAAAATCAAGTAATGAAATAAAAATAAACAAAATATAGCTAATTTTTTGTACAATTTTTCTCACATTGCCTTTTGTTCTTTAAACTTCTCATTTCTCTCTTCCTGAGGATGTCATCAACTTCATCCAAACATAACTTTCTTGGTCTTTCACTTCTTATCAAGACATTTACTATTCTTCATATTTAGAATTTAGTCTTCATTCCTCTTTATCAGTGAGACCAAATTGCCTCAATGTACTTCTTTTGTGCTTATCAATCAATTCACTCAAAGTTCATTTAACGTCTATTCATTCTTGACCTTAACCCTTCTTGCTTGACCACACACAATTCCCATTCAACTTTTATGTTTCTCTTGAGAAACCCAACTCTTACTACAATATGACAAAATAGGAGAAGCACATTTGCTTCTTTTAAAAAATATCCATTTCTCACAATGGCCCACATATTTTTTTCAATTTTTCTACCAACCCCAAGTGTCTTAAAATTTCTCCATCCATTTCCCCATATCTAGTAATAATTCTATGGTGGCATGCAAATTCATCTACTTTCTTCAGTTTTTCACTATGAGCTGTTCCATTTTCCTTGTCAACACATCTACCTTGGAATTTGATTTTCAGACCCATGGTCCTTCTTGTGTCATACAATGCATCTAATATTTACTGCAAATAATTTGGATTTTCTGCTAACAACACAGCTTCATTCAGAAGTATATGTACTTACTCATGCACAACCAACACACCTCTAACATCTCCACAAGTATTCCTTATATATTTATCCATAAATACATAAAACAACCATTTAATTAAGGACATTACATATCCTTGTCTTACTCTCTGTTCCCTTCTATTTATTCTCACACACAGTTTACTTCCATTGTGTACTCCTCTTATTGCATTCAGCAATCAACCTCCAACTCCATATTCACACAGAACTCTCCATAATTCAAGCTTATTCACTTTATCATACACATTCTCTAAATGAAAAAATGTTCAATAAACTTTATTGCTCCCATTGATACATTTCAGTCTTGTACAGTTGGTTATGATGAATCTAAGCCAGTTTTCTGTTAATGCAGCTATTTCCACTTAGCTGAGTTAACTTAACATGAAGTTTATTTCTGTACTTAGAAGACCCATTTGGGATATCTCTATCTTTTTTGTGGGCCATTAGGAAGTTTCTATCCTGATAATGCAATTACAAACCAGTTTTCCTTGATTGTTTGCCAAGGGGGCAAAAATCTTCCTATACAGATGGCAGAAACTGGTGGTTTGGAGACAGTATGATGAATGATATTTATTCCTGGCATAATGCAACAGGTTTGGCAAGTTGACCATTGTAAGCTATTCATTAACTGTTTTTAAGGGCTATAAAAGCATTTTGGTTTTTTTGATTTTTTTTTGTGGAGGGGAACGTGAACTCTCTTTACCATCCTTCATGCACCTGAATAAAGTAGGTTAATTGCACTGTGGGGGCAGCCAGGTCCATGAATCTTCTTATAGTGGATACTCCATAAAAAGCAATATATGGGAACTACTCTATAAACCACATTAAGAATTATGCTGTTTCAAATGGTCTTTGGATACTGCTTGCTGAAGTACGGATTTTCCCACTCACATGGAAGACCTGCTGAACATGCTGCGTCAAGGAAACAAGTGTTATTTCAACTTCTCCTCTTTTTCCTCTTCTCCCTGCACATGGGAGGATGAACAAAAAGTACCAACCATGTATACTTCATATTATTTCTAGTTAAAGTGTTCATATAGAAAACATGATAGAAAAAGCAAATCAACCCACAGAGGAATTTTCAGTCTTTGGTTTAATCTCTGAGAAAACAGAAGATGGGAACAGATTATTTTTTATGTCTTCATAATGGGGAGTCGAGGTGGAGTTGTTCATAGAGTATTATTTATATTTATTTATTTATATTTCAAATTTGTCACCGCCCATCTCACTGTGGGGTGACTCTGGGCGGTTTACAGTAAAAGTCGAATAAATATTGATTAAAATAGATAGATTAAAATAGATAATATTGTGCCTGGCTAGTTTCTGGCTTGTTGTTAGTTTCAGCTCCATCCATCATTGGCATGTAATAATTCCTTGGCTCTCACAGAAATGTGGTCAACTACAGAATAAGAAAGAAGGGCTGCACATTAACCTCCAATACCCAATAATGGATGTGGTTTGAGGAGGGGAGGAAAGTGAAGAGAACTACCCATATACAGAGGCTTGCATCATATATCTGGGTAGTATATTCAGGCTCAAAAGGAGAAAATAACTAAGAGATTGCAGTTGTGTTAGATTTTTTTTCTTTTTGTCATCCCCTGAAATCTATGTATGAGATCAAAATTTCAGAGGCTAAAATGGCTTTATCTAACAGATGTCATTGTATTAACCTCTGTTATCTAAGTTTCCTTTATTTTTCCGAGTTATATATCCACTCTATCTCTGCCATCTTTTGCTAGAAAAGTTCCAGAAATTTTAACATAAAGTTCTCAGATAGTAAATCAGAACTTTCTAATGTAAATTTTATCGTGATTTATTCATGAAGTGACTATGGTGCTTTTCTATTTTTTAAAAAAGAAAAGTCAGCATTTTTGTTTTTGATTTCACAGAAGTACAATTTTTTTAAAGTGGAGGTTTTTTCCAGTGAGCTATCTGAAGCATCAGTTGCTATATCCTAAAATTCTTTGGAAGCATGATTAATATTCACCTTGAACTAGAAACAATATTGATAGTGTCTGAATATATTGTACTTTCTAGAGTTAGTTTTGTTCATCATATTGAATACCCATCCCTTAACTTTATCATAGAACAAATTGTATTTAGCTTAGAGAGTTTAAAAACGATTATTAAAAAAATACTAACACAGTTGAAGTAGAGGAGGAAAGTTGGTTGCAATAAATCAAGGATGAATAGTCTAAGCTCAAGGAGCCCTCAAAAGCAGCCTCAAAGCCCCCTTTTGAACTTTTCCTGATATTTTGAGGTGGGAGTATGCACAAGGTATTGTATGGGCCCATAAAGTAAGTTTAACATAGCATTTTAAGTAATATGTATGTGCGCTTGTATAATCTTCTTAATAACCAGGACAAAGAAACCCCAAAAGCAGAAAATCTTGGACTCTTCCATGTACAGTATGTTTCATAGATTGCCTGCTTTACCCTACCCTTTATGTCCATTTTCCTCAAAAAATTCTGTTATGTGCCAGTTGCTGCATTTAGACTTTCAGTTTTAAGATGTAAATTGTAACACTTAGAATTTTCTGTGCCTCTTTGTTACTCTACTACTCTGGATTTTATTTATTTTTTCTTTTGATAAATGGAAAGAGTTCTATAACCTGAAGAGAGACCAGAATATTTATTTTTTATTTTGTAATAAATAATATTGTAAGAAATTGAATGTTTATAAAGTATTTCAATCTGTTTGTCTTATGGGGGTAAATATACATGCCACTGTATTCTTGAATCTTTGATGCAGTAAAGTTGTAAGTTACTAATGATAAGTCAATGAGCATCATATTAGGTACTCTGACTTCAGATAGATAGATAGATAGATAGATAGATAGATAGATAGATAGATAGATAGATAGATAGGTAGAACGAACCCAGAACCCAGTTGGCCAGTAGCAAGTGGATTTCCATCAATTTTTTTCAGATCACTGAGAAAATTAGGGAGATATTGACATGCTTGGGGGAATTCCAAATTTGCAAAAGAAGATGACGAAGATGATAGTGGAAATCCAGAGACCACAGAATATTCACTGACTATCTAACAAAGAGAAAAAATGGAAAACTGGTAATGATGGAATGGAGTAGACTGGATAAATGCAGGGCTGCTTGGCTGAGATGCTCAGAGCCAATCCTACCAGTTTGTTGGATGATGGGCTTCCTCAAGCAACAGTTTTTAGATAGATGTAATAATGATGTGATTACTGTATTTTTACAGCCACTAAATTGGAAGGATTCTTGTGTAACGTTCTGTCTCATTTACATCTTTGTGCACGGTGAATAAGTAGGTATCACAGGTAAAATGTCTGAAGCACGTTCTGTTCATGTTGTAGCATTTTGTTATTTTCTAAATTTGTATATTTCTTAATCATATGAAATGGGCAATACATATCAGGTTATCTGATCAAATTCTCTTCTTTGCCTGAAACCATCTACATATTTCAGATGAGCAATATCTCTGTTTAGCCTGAAGATAGCTAAACAGAAGATTGATGGGTTTTGGTTTTTTGATGATGTTTTATTGCTAATTTTAATTTGTTGTTTGCCAGAGTCATATGTCAAGTGTGCAACCTCTCTCACTTTCTTTTCTCTCTCTCTCTCATTCCTGTTTTGACCTATAAAGAGTTATAAATGTTCCAGTCTAGGGAAAATAAGAAGCCCCATTCACAGCATAGTAGCAGTATTAATGAAATTTGCAGTGCAGACAGCTTCCAGTTTGTGTGTTCTCCTTAATTGTATTGAATCATTACTCCTCTCAACATCTTCTTTTCACAGCTCATCATGTTAAAACTGGAACATGTGAAGTGGTGGCTCTCCACCGATGTTGTAATAAGAACAAAATAGAAGAAAGATCACAGACAGTCAAGTGCTCCTGCTTTCCCGGGCAGGTAGCAGGTACCACCCGAGCAGCTCCTTCTTGTGTTGATGGTGCGATATCTTTGGTGCTTTGTTCTTTCTTTTTGACTTGTAGTTCTCCTGAGTTTGATTCTTTTAAATGAAAACAATCATTGAACAGTGTTTACACTGATAAGGAGTTTGGGAGTTTGGTGAAGATTCTTATACTCAGGATGAAAGGTAGCTAGAGATTTTGAAATGAATTATGAAGTCTGACTACGAAATAAAGCCCTTGAGAAAAATAATGGGGTATAAAATCTTTATACTGGATATCAGTATTAAGTTTATTTTCTTTCTTTGCATCTTCAGATTACCTCTTCTTTTCTCCTGCTGCAAATAGCAGACTTCAGGAGGTACAGGAAGTCCAGGAATAATTTACTCATACAGTGCACATGTATGTCTTATGAACTTAAAAAAAAAGTCTGGTGGATCATATCAAATACTGTTTTAGTCCATTGTTTCCTTCCATAGGATATACATTTAAAAGTACCTCCCTGCTTGTATTTCTTACCAACAAATATTCTATTTTCTGTTTTTACCTTGATAATATTTCTCTGATATAAGGACAAAAAAGGTTTAATTAAAAAACAATGTGCTTTTCTCTTCCTCTTCTTTAGCCTCAATTGTAGAACAAAAATGGTGGTGCCACATGCAACCATGTCTTGAAGGGGAGGAATGCAAAGTCCTTCCAGATCGAAAAGGATGGAGCTGTTCTTCTGGGAATAAAGTGAAAACAACAAGGGTAAGTAGGAATTTCCCATGAAATCTAGCTGGCAGCTGTTGTAAAAGAATTCTGGACTCAGTGGATCATAGTCTTGATCCAGGAGAATAATTTTTAAATATGGAATAAGCATAAACAGAGAAAGAAATTATTGGCTTGGATACCCGTTAAATACAACATGGTAAGTTATTTATGACTGATTTACTTTGATGGGTTTATTCTAAGTATGATTGCTCTGGATCTAACCATTATCTTGATCTAACTATTATCATGATCATTGTTGGTAATTGATCTGCAGGCACTGAAATTTAATATCCACTATTACTAAAGAACCAAACCAGAATTGCAGTCAGGTTCACATATTGAGTTAAATATTTTGCATATCCTTAGAAAATTGGACTGTTTGTTTATCAAGCACATTTATACTGCTGTTTATCATCAGTTATTTTAAGTTCAAAAATTCAAGACATTAATTCAGTAAATAAAAATGTGCCTTTTACGGCTTAGCTGTTGCTCAGATTGAGCTCATGATGAAAATGAAAGAAAGAACTTTTCTAAAAGACAAGACACTTTTATCATGGAAATCTCTGGTTCATTAATTAATTAATGTTACTTTTGCTTTTGTCCTACTCAAGGCTTCTTTCATATAAAGTAACATAAAACAGCTATAGTAGGTCCTCTAGACATATATGCCCTTACACATATATAATTTCTTTTTCAATTTTAATTTTGATTGAGAACAAAATATTTATTTTTATAATAATTTTTATTGAAGTTTAACAATACAAAAATAAAAAAACTAATACAAACTAAGAAAAATATAAAAAAATAAAATAAAAATAAAAAGTACAGAGAGAAAAAAAGGGGGGAAGGGAAAAAAGTATAAAGAAAAAAGAAATATAAAGAAATGACTTCCACCTTCATCCAGACAAACAATTTTAATAACTTATCACTTTCTCTAACATTTCAATACAAAATCTCTTCATCCCATATTTCATCTTTTATCTGTTAGCAAATAATAAAGCCTCATCATTCAATTTTAATCAGCAAAAGTCCATTAAGAGTTACCAGAAATAACAATATATGTATTTTAGCTTTAAACAAGTAAATCAATTACATGTTCCTTTCCTTTCCTTTGTTCAGTAACTTACCATTTTCTCTAAAAATACAACATAAAAAAAATCTTCTTCCCATATCTTATCTCATATCTATAAACAAATATTTAAAACCTTCTCATTCAAACCTAATCAAGAAAAAATTAATTAAGAGCTGCCAGAAACAACAACATATTGAAAATCTTGATCTTTAATCCCTTCAAATAATATCCCACAAATTAATTTCTTATCAGTTTCTCTTTGTTTCCTCTCACAAACTCCTTCTGAAGTTTAATACTTTCTCTAAAAAATCCAACCCAAACATCTCTTCTTCCCATATCTTATCTCATATCTATAAACAAATATTTAAAACCTTCTCATTCAAACCTAATCAAGAAAAAATTAATTAAGAGCTGCCAGAAACAACAACATATTGAAAATCTTGATCTTTAATCCCTTCAAATAATATCCCACAAATTAATTTCTTATCAGTTTCTCTTTGTTTCCTCTCACAAACTCCTTCTGAAGTTTAATACTTTCTCTAAAAAATACAACCAAAAAATCTCTTCTTCCCATATCTTATCTATAAACAAATCTTTAAAGCCTTGTCATTCAGTCCTGGTCAAGAAAAACCCATTAAAAGCTACTAGGAAAAAAAATCACATATATTTTAACCTTGGTTGAATAAGCCAACCTTATAGTCCTTCTTTTTGCTTTTAAAAGTCTTGACATTTATTCAAGTAGTGTCCCAAAAGCTGATTTCTTTTCATTCTCTCATTATCTTTTCTCAGGAGCTCTTTCATAAATACTGTATAACACATCTCTTTTGTAAGTCCAAAATAAGAAATGTGTCCAAGTCACTCTTCTGATTTATTATTTGTGTGTTCCTTTTAGCTGTTAAAACATCAGCTGGTTTCATTTGTAATATCTTTGTCAATATCATTCTTGTATCCTATCATTTTAAAATCCATATCCAAAACAGCCTGATTCTCAGTGGTATCCTCTTCTATCTC